TGCAGCAAATTTCGTCGAATATGGTTTGTTTTTCATTGTTTTTTGCGGTATTTTAAAATATATTCGACGAAATTTGCTGTAAAATATGCGAAAAGCTAAAAATGAGTAAATTTAATATTTTCCCGCCGGGTTACTGTCGCACTCGTTTCAACTGTTTCCGGTTGTTTACGCTTTCAGATATTTGTTTACAAACTTCGCATACAACCTTTTTTTTTCTCTGACAAGGATAATATCATCTTTAATTTGGTTTATAAAATCTTGAATGTTTTATCAAAATATCGACAAATGGCGCGAGGAAGAGATGATAATTATCGGAAAATGATGTGATTTTGTTAGATGTGTCCCGTCTAGTTACTGTTACTGTAGACAACGATCGGTGCGGCGTGTTTGTGGACTTTTTTTTCCATTATTTTTTATCGTTGAATGTTGTCGCGCTTTCTCCTTTTACGTTTTTTTCAGACTTTTAGCGGAACTTTTTTTTTAAATTCCTCGAAAAACTTTCGAGAAATTTTTGTCGAAAATTCCTCGAAAGTTTCTCGAAAAAGGCATTTCTCGAGAAATTTTTTTTCGAAAAGACACACTGGTGTATTTAGTCCTCGAGGAAAATAAAAATTTTACCGAAAATTTACCGGTAACTTACCGGTAATTTATCGGTAAAATACCGATAAATTTTCGGTAGTTTTCAAATTTTTATCGGTAATTTACCGGTAAAACTACCAAAAAAGCCGTTACCGGTAAGCAGTATGCCTTATCGACAAATGATTTGTCGACAAACGCCCTTTTCGACAAATTTATCGACAAATTTATCGACAAATTTACCGGTAAATTTATCGGGAAATTACCGACAAATTTGTCGATAAAAATGCTGTTTGTCGACAAAAATTGGGCAATTACTCTTTGACTACACCACTCTTTGACTACACCTACTCTTTGACTCCACATTCTCTTTGACTACATTTATCTCTTTGACTACACTTGTCTCTTTGGCTACACTTGTCTCTTTGACTACACTTTTTTGTTTTATAGTACTTTTTGACTGAATTTATTGGAGTTTCCGATTTTTGTCTCATATTATAGGCTTAGGCTAAAACACCAGTTTTCCGGTAACTTTTCAGCCTAAGCATTGAATTCCACCACATGGAG